TGGCCGAGGCCGATGGCGTCGACCAGGGAGTGGATGCGCATGGGCCGTCACCCTCTTGGTCGGCCTCTGCGGGCTCCGAGGGGCGGCCATTGGCGGACGGTGGCGACGAGCTGGCATAATGGATGCCATGTCCGCTGTCCAAGACCTCCGTCGCGCGCATCATGGCCTCGGCGAGCCGAGCGAGCTCGTCGCCCCACTCGCGAGGGAAGTCCTGCTGAAGAGAGCGGAGCCACTCCCAATACCGTCGCCGCGCTGCTCGCCGCTGTCGGAACCATGCCGAGTAGGGCCGCGGCGCGGTCGCCGCGGCCGTCCTTCTCGGCCCTCTCATCTACCAGGGGCCGATGCACAGGATGAGCGAGAAAGCTGGAGGCGCACGGCACGCAGTACCTCTTCCAGCGCATAGAGTCCATCTCGTCGTCTAACGTGCGCGGGTCCTCCAGCCGGTGGCCTGCGTAGCTTCTCAGCGCCCTCTCCAGCACCCACTTGCGCTGCAGCGCCTCGCGTCGCTCTGGACCCCGGTCCTTGGTCATGGGCTGCGGCCCCAAGTCTTGCGAGGGGGGAGCGGCGTCTCGCTCCCAAGGCGGCAGCGGACTCTGGCGCAGCCGATGCGCCGCGAGCTGCGCCGCGCTGCGGGGGCCGCCCTCCGCCTGGTAGCCCTGCTCGCCGCTGGGGGGGTAGACCGCGTTGCCTTCGACCACTGTGACGAGCTTGGAGCGCCTCGCCCGCGGAGCTCCCGAGGCCGACGATGCCGTCGTAGACAATGTCGACGCAGGCGGCCCCGCGGCACGGCGCCCGCGACCTCGCCGAAGACCGCGGCGAGCCAGACGCTTCGCAGCGAGATCACCACCGTGCCAGTGAGAGAGCTCCAACCCGAGGGAGGCGCCTGGGCTCAGTGGGGCCCGGGAGGCCTCAGACCTTGGCAGGGGAGCCCCCTGGGGGCCCAGCCTCTCGCTCCAGGATCCTGGCCCTGGCGCCCGCGTCCAAGGGGGGCCTTGCTGAAGGCCGCGCCGCCCCCCGCCCCCCCCCCCCCCCTTGCGGCGGAGCCGCCTGCGCCTGACCCAGGCGGGTCCCCAGCGCCATCAGGAGCCTGACCAGGCGCGCCAGGATGGTGGGGGGGCGCGCCCTTGCCCTGGGTTGGAGCTGCCGCTGCCCCTCCTCCTTTGCCCTTGGCCGCCGCCACCTCCGAGCTGTGCTCGCCGGGCGCGGCGGAGCGGGGGCGCTCGGACTTGAGGCGGTCGTGCATCTTTTTGAGGTCCGCACGCATGGTTTTGATGGGTCCGGCGGCAGGGCCGAAGTGCTTCTGGACCTCGGACTGCAGCTTGGACAGGTCGAGGGCAGCCCCCTACTTGGCCGCGGGCGGTTCCGCGGCCCCCGCAGGCGCCGCAGCGGCCTGGCCCGCCGGGGCCGCCTCGGCGGGGGCCGCCTCGGCCTCGGCGTCGGCCACGGCGACCTCTAGGATGGCCTCCTCCAGCTCGCGCCGCTTGCACTCCAGCCAGTCCTCCGCGTCCTTGACCGTCTGGTGGGAGCGTTTGGGGGCCGCCTCGGCGCGCCGCGCCCGCGCCCGCGCCTGGTTGAGCGCCACGTCGGAGTGCTGCTCGGGCGGGGGCGGCGAGGGCCAGCTGGTCGACCTGGGCGACGGTGGCCCGATCGGCGTCCACTGGAAGGGTGGCCCGCAGCTGTCGCAAGAGCTCCTCCTGCGTGGGCAGCGCGTCCTTGGCCCCCTTGCCACGGGGACGGCTGTGGGCGCGCTCGGTGGCCCCGCCTGGGCCCCAGGTCCCCGAAGGCGGGCGCTCCTGCGACCGAGCTGGCTGCAAGGCCCGCCCGCAGCTGTGGCACGCCGTGTTCTTCCTCCAGTTTCACTTGTAACCACACGAGCGGCACTTGGCGTACTGCTGCTTCTGGCCTCCAGACTGCTCACCCATGTTTCCATTGCCACCCATGCGCAATGCCAAAGGACTGAGAGCCTGCCCCGCCAGGAGCAACGATGAAAGCGTCCACGACTGCACGAGGGCTCGCCGTGGAGAAGGTGACCAAAAAAGCCTGTTCTGGGGCAGCTCGCCTCGAGCCAGCCCCTCGGCTGCAGGCAAGTACGAAGCCGCAGGGCCACGGATTCGCACTTGAGCAGACATGATTACGGGGAGGAGGAAGAGGAGGAGGAGGAGGAGGAGGCGAGCAGGAGTAGAACGAGCGGAGAGGAGAAGGAGCAGAGAGAAGAGAGAAGAGAGGAGAGACAAGAGAGTAAAGGAACATGAGGAGGACAAGTGTAACCTCAAAACGAATCAACCATGTTGCAATAAACTCTCCCTCAAAATTCCCGTTTCATAGGTCCCTACAACAATTGATGTTCAATGCGGGGAGTGCCCCTTTATAAAGCAACCGCCTGGGAACCCCAAACCGTGCCAAAGCACAATTCCTGGGAATTCAAAGCGGAGGATCAACGTGACTGTTGCGTCCTGACAACCCTAAACCGCTCCGCAACACCATTCCTGGGACTTCAACACCGCGCATCGACGCGACTGTCTCGGCCTGTCAGTACGAAATCGCATTTTGAAAACCAACCACCCTCCATCCTCGAAATTGCTGCAAACTTTGAAGACGAATGTGCCTGGTGCGCAGGCGAGAGCCACACATCGAAATGTTGCGACTACACTGAACACTCAAGGACACATCTGGCCTCCCCTGGGCCTCTCTCTGGAGGCAACTGGGAAAGGGCCCCAGTGGAGGCCTCCGCGGACACCTCCAGAGACCCCTGGAGGACCTCCCGTATCATCCGACGCCGCATTTGTTGTTTGCACCGCGGGCCCGAAGGGTGTGGACCCCTTCGGTCGGCTCTTCATCGTCAGGATGTCGGGTCGGGCGCGCACTAACACGGAGTACTCATCCGTGGATCTGGCGCGTGGGCGCCAAATCCACGGATCGGGAAAGGTAAGCTCCAAGCATGAGATCAATGCCGCCTCATTTGGCGATGGAGCGCGCCGATTCTGTACGGGCCCCCCAGACAGCCGAGGAGGGTCCCCTGATGGTCCAAGAGAGCCTCGAGGTGGCAGGGTAGGGTTCGGAGACTGGCCATCGGCGAGGGCAGGATAGGCTGCGGAGTCAGGGGAAATCAGAGGGTACCGATACCGCCACTCCCCGGACCTCTCCTGGGGTGCGTTCTGACGAGAAGTTCGGGACGAATCCAGCGGTGGCAGCGAGGGCCTCCCAGGAGGCACAAGAAAGGGAAAACGAGGGTCTCTGTTCCTCCTCTGACCCGGGAGGCCCCCAAGAAGGTCCCCAGTGGCCCGGAGAGAGCCCCAGGACGGCCCCGACGGGCCCGCTGGGCTTCGGACGCCGGGTGGCGGGCTCGCAGCATCGTGCCAGGTGTTTCTTCCCGCCCCTTGCACACAACTTCCCTGAACCTCTCCACCTATCCATCCCCACCCCTGCTTCCTCCCTGCCTTTCCCTCCGTCCTGCATCCCTTCCCCCCTCCTGCTCCTGCTCCTCCTCCTCCTCCTCCTCCTCCTCCTCCTCCTCCTCCTCCTACTCCTGCTCCTGCTCCTGCTCCTGCTGCTGCTCCTGCTCCTGCTCCTGCTCCTGCTCCTGCTGCTCCTCCTCCTCCTCCTCCGCCTCCTCCTCCTCCTCCTCTCTCCTCCTGCTCCTCCTCCTCCTCCTCCTCCTCCTCTTCCTCCTCTTTTTCCTCCTCCTCCTCCTCCCCCTCTTACGCCTCCTCCTCCTCCGCCTCCTCCTCCTCTTCCTCCTCCTTCTCCTCCTTTCAAGCGCATGCAGCTCGAGTCCCGTCCGTAGCACTTGGCTTTGCGATGGGCCCATGGTCGCGCCCGAAGCCTTCACGTGGCGCTTGGGGGGTCCGACTCCTGCCGCGGCCTTGTCATAGCAGCAGCTTTCGAATGGCGAAACTGGATGCAGTCGTGGAGTATGGCGTTCAATCTGCTGGGTTTGGTGTCGAGCTGTTGTTCGTGCGCTCGAGGGAAGTGTCTAAAGCGCATGCCTGCATCTCCACGCCCCATTCGATACAATTTAAAGTTTACCATGTTTATCCGCGAGGTGGTACGTGTGTTTTCGGGTCGGAGCCACCGGTGGTCAGTGCGTATCATTGCCTTCACCCTGCTGCCTGCTGGTCTAGGTGGCTGGTATGTGCATGTATTTCAATTCGTTGCTCACATGAGGAGGTATACCTATTTCGTTTCATGCTCCAGAGACTTAACCAACGCGCGCAAACCGCCGAGAAACATGAGGTACGTCCAACATGGTGAAGCTTTGTTTCCGAAATCAGTTCAGTGGAGGGCCGTGACGTTGCACAAGTCTGTTCTCGGTTGTGGCTTGCTTATAAGATTTCCTGGTTGGGCCGTGATCCTTCACATACGCTCTCTTATGGGATGTTATGTGTCGGCCGTGTTTCGTGGAATTCGTCTTCCAGTGCGTGCGCGTGCTCATCCAAATCGTCTCGTTGCTCTGGGGACATATCCCACGTGCGCAAAAGCGCCAAGGAACATAAGGTGCGCCCAATGAGGTGAAGGACTTTTCCCAAGTCGTACGTCGCACGTCGATGCAATTTCGAAGTGGTGGGCCGTTGGTTTGCACTATGCCTGTTGCTTGGTGGTGGCTTCCAGGTGTGCGCTGTGCTGGTTGCAATATTTCCTGGCTGGGCCCTGATAGGTCACGTTCGCTCAATGTTTGGAGGTTGTGTCTTGCCAGCCGTGGTATTTCGTGGAGTTCGTCTTCCTGTGCGTGCGCGTGCTCATTCATATCGTCACGCTGCTCCGCGAGCTCAGCGCAGTGTGTTGCAGCATCAGACATGATCTTACATATGAAAACGTAGTTGGTCCCATTCCCATTCCCATTCCTCCTCCTCCTCCTCCTCCTCCCCCCTCCCTCCCTCCCTATCTCTCTCTCTCTTTCGCTTTCTCCTCCTCCCCCTCCTACGTACCCCTCCTCCTTCCCCTCACACAGCCCCGTACCGCCCTGGCCCAGGGAGCCCCCGCGAGCCCATGGCGCCCGAATCCTCGTGATCGAACAGCTGCCCTTGGCGACCACGCACCACTGGGGGTGGGCGCGCGGCTTGCCCTGCGAGGCTGGGGGAGGAGGAGGAGGAGGAGGAGGAGGAGGAGGAGGAGGAGGAGGAGGAGGAGGAGGAGGAGGAGGAAGGCTCCTCCTCCTCCTCCTCCTCCTCCTCCTCATCCTCTTCCTCATCTAATCCTCCTCCAATCCTCCACTCCTCCAATCCTCACTCCTCCAATCCTCCAATCCTCTATTCCTCCTCCTCCTCCTCCTCCTCATCATCATCATCCTCATCAAATCCGCCGACCCCTTGTGGGTCTCTAGGCGTGTGAGATAGTTCCCCCCCCTAACCCCCCCCCTGGGACCCCAAACCGGAGATTCGAACCCCCCCCCCCCGGGCCCACCACGAGCGCATCACGGGGCTCTTTTGGGCCCAAAAGGGGATCAAGACGGGCCAAGAAGGCCCCAAGACTCCTCCAAGACGGCTCACGAGAGCTCCGAGGCGCCAAACGAGCGCTCCCAGACGCCCAAGATGCCCCCAAGACGAGCCTAGAGGCCTCCAAGACGGCCCAAGAGGCCTCCAAGAGCAGTCCTGAGAAGGGCCGAAGCGCCGAAAATCGTCAAATTCCTATGGGAAAACGTACATTGTGATCATATACTACCTGTCGGCCTTCACGGCGTTGAAGACGGTCCCAGAGCACCCCAAGACCGCCCCGAGAGGCCCCCAAGATGCGCCCAAGTCGGCCCAAGAGGGCGCCAAGACGGCCCAAGAGGCCCCCAAGACAGCCCAAGAGGGCCCCAAGACGGCCCAAAAGGTGCCCAAGAGGGGGAGCCCGAACCGACAATTCGAGCCTTCCGCCCCAAGACGGCCCCAGAAGGCCCCAAGAGGCCCCAAGAGGCCCCCAAGACGCCCACAAGAGGCCCCAAGAGGCCCCCAAGAGGCTACAAAACGGCCTCAAAACGGCCCCCAAGAAGCTTCGAAACTGCCTCCAAGAGTCCCGCGAGAAGCCCCCCAAGAGATCCCAGGGCCTCGAGATGACCCCAAGCGGATTCCACATGGCCCCAAGAGAGGTCATTATGGACCCCTACACGACTCCCCAGCCCGATTCAAGCGAGCCGGCAAGACCGCCAAGATGAGGGGTCGGCGGATGTGGCGTAAGCCTATAGAATCCTCCTCCAATCCTTCACTCCTCCAATCCTCCACTCCTCCAATCCTCCACTCCTCCAGTCCTCCATTCCCCCTCCTCCTCCTCCTGCTCCTGCTCCTGCTCCTGCTCCTGCTCATGCTCCTGCTCCTTCCCCTCCTCCTCCCCCTCCCCCTCCTCCTCCTCCTCCTCCTCCTCCTCCTCCTCCTCCTCCTCCTCCTCCTCCTCCTCCTCCTCCTCCTCCTCCTCCCCTCCTCCTGCATGGACGCGGCAACTGGTCTCAAGCGGGTCTGCCGCAAACTGGGGGCGCGCCAGAGAACGGGCAAGAGGAGGGTCCGGCGCATCCTGCGGATGCGCAAGCAAACGGCCTTTGTGAAGGAGTCCAACGACTTGTGGAAAACGGGCGCCCTGCCGCAGTCGACCAGCGGCCACCAGGTGTTCGGCGAGGCGCCTAGTAACATCGCCAAGCCGAGGCGCCAGGCCAGCCAGGCCATCGCTGGAACAGGGCGTGGGCGCTGTCTAACGTCCACGCTGGCGGCGCCCATGGGGCTGCGCGACCCGCACGTGGAGCTGCGTCGCCAGACCTGTACGCAAGGTGCTAGGCTTGGATCTCGGAGCCGTCTCCTCACAGCCGGGTGCAGCGTGCTTGGCCTTGCATCCGGCGCGCCTATGCTCGCGCGGGCGGCCACCGCTGGCGCCGAGTGCGGGGCCCGAGTGGTGCCGTCCAGGCGACGCCGCCCCGCCGCGTCTGGCTACGGCGGGTGGACGCTGCCTACGGCGGAGGACGAGAATTTCGCGTCGTGCACGCAGCACCAGGCCCTCCTGGACGACGTGGTCACGGACTTGCGCGCATCCCGCGAGGCTGGCGACGGGCTGCAGAGTGGCGGCTACCACTAGCAGGTGTTCAACGAGCTGAAGAAGTTCGTCAAGTCCTGGGGCCTGCTACTCTCGGTCGTGGCGAGAAATCAATGGCCCGAGGAGCGCCGCATCCGCTTGGGGCACACCTTGAGCGACGACGTGTGCAAGCGGTGCAATCGCTACCGTGAGGGTCTGGCGCATAGGATTTGGTGGGATGACTGCGGGGACGACAAAGCTTTGGCCAAGTCTGCTGACCTGCTGCATCGCGCGTTGGCTAGATTCCAGGCCGAGCCCTCGCTGTGGCTGCGCGGAGTGGCACCGGCCGCTCTCACGACGCCGAGCATCGACGAGGAGTGGCTGTCGTGATCGGCGGCCCGCTGGACTCTAATCGGGGGGGATGGGGTGCTGGTCGTTTTCGGGGACAGGTTTGAAGAGAGGTACTCTTCTGACCCGCAGAGGCGGCGCTGCGGGCCCGGCAGGGATTGTCAGGCTACCCCAGGCCGTGCCGAGCCTCTTGTCAGTCCACACCAATCGGTATTGCGTGCTGAAATTATAGATTTCGCTCCCGCCGTCGAGGCAACACAGGAGCGATGCCGTTTGTGGCAATCACGAACTCCTGTTTCGTGTGTGGCGGGAGCGCTTGGCAGCGCCCCGCAGTAGCAGCCAGGCGAATGAGGACCTCTGGCAGCGTGTTCGCGAGGATCAAGCTGCCCGGGGCGAAAGGGCTCTACAGGTCGGGTGGGTGGCCCCGCACGCTGACGAGCGTGCCCACCTCCTCGTCCGCCGTCGCGCCCAGCCTCTTGCTCTAGACAATCAGGAAGCTGATACGTGGGCGGACTTGGCTACTAACGCTGGGTGGAAAACGAGATTGATCGGCGACGAACCTCGCACGGACGACGTCGACGACATCATTGCCCTTGTCCGCCGCAGCGCGCGCAAGACGCAGGAGCGGGCTTCGGAGTCGGACCAAAAGGAAGGAGCCCGTCGTCCACTTCGAATGCGGCGCCCCGGGACGACCCCCGCCGCCCTGGCACTGGAGTCCTCGGCCCACGAGATGGCCAACAGTGGAAACAAATGGGCCCGTCAACGGTCCCATCGGTTGGTGCGGCCTCGTTGTTTTCGGCAGTTTTGCGCGTCGCATTGTATGGCCCCGACTGAAGCCAGCAACCTGGCAGCGGCGGCCAGTGGAGGCGGCTCGGGTCCTGTGCCTGTGGCCGCGAAGCAGAATGGATAGTCCCAACTGCAAAAGAGGCATGTGTTAGCCCTCTGGCCTAAGAATTGCACGGCGTTCTGCCACCGCTGTGGAAAGTATGCCACAAAGGACCCCCGGTGCACGTTGTGGATGCGCCAAGGAAAAACAAGGCATGGTGGCGAGGAACTATCGCGAATTCGTTGGATCTGCACCCTCGGCGTGAGGACGTCCCAAAAACGGTCATCCGCGCCCGTGGGCAGCGACTGAACGAAGCTGCCAACCGCCTGCCGACTTTCAAGCCAGACGGGGCTGCCAGCATATGCGCGGCCACAGCTGGGAGTGGGGATGCCCGTGGGGTGGACGAGTGCAACATATCTCGGCAAAGGCGCATGTCAATTCAGGGGCTTCGGCGCATGGTATGAGGCGTGCCTGCGTCACTGGGCGCAGCTCGGGAGTGGCCCGGAAGACTCCACAAGACTCCTCCTCCTTCTCCTCCTCCTCCTCTTCCTGCCCCTCCTCCCTCGATCCCTCCTACCTCCCCCCCTCCTTCCCTGCCGTCCTCCCATCTCGGCCCGGCGGCGCCAGAGTCGGGCCCCGCACCCCGTCGCCGTGGGGGCCGCCGGGCAAGCGGGAAAGAGTCTGGTCTGCTAGGCCGCCTACGGCTCGACTGCTGGACTTTCCCCAACTTGGCATCCGTCGAATTGCAAGCCACCTCCCAAACCAGAGTTCAGAGTCCGAGCTGCCGGGGCCACCCCCCAGCGAGGGCGGGGGACGGAGCGGAAAACGGACGACGCGACGACGGAGCAAGGGGCACCCGCGGGGGCGGGGGGGAGAAGGGCGAGAGAGGCCACTGAGCCAGGAGACTCAGGAGAGCGGGGGGAGAGGGACGACGACGGGGGGGAGGGCAGCGCAGAGAGCAGGAGGAGGAGACAGGGGGCAGGCGCGAAACACGCGCAGCGGCAGGGGCGGGCTCAATCCCAGATTTGCTACGCTGATCCTGCCCCCATCGCTGGAGCCGCCCCAGTTGGCAACCGCCCCCGCCGTGTTCGGCGGCGCCCGGCCCTGGCTGGCTCGCTTGCCCTGCGTAGGCCGCTAGGCCGAACACGCTCATGCCTGGCTGCGCCGCGCGCAGGGCTGTCTGGGCCTGCGCGCGTTGGACCGCCGTGGCGATGCGCCTGCACGCGCGCCACATCGCCACGACTTTCTCGTCCGGCGGCAGCGGCGCGTGCAGCGCGCGCAGCAGCACCAGCGCGGACGGCCCCATGTGGCCCCCGCTCTCCAGTGCCAGCGGCACGAGCTCGGGGTGCGGGTAGCGGGTCCGCTTGGTGCGCTCCAGCGCGAGGGCGAGCCCGCTGTCCCGCGAGGCCGCGGAACGGGCGACCGACCCCCTGCCGCCGGGGTGGGCGACCGTGGCGTCCGCATGCAGGGTGCGACCCCCAGGCAGCGCGAAGCCTAGGTCGAGCCGTGCCTCGCGCGCGTCGGGCGCGACCCACTCGGGGACCACCTGCCCTGGCTGCGGCGAGGCCCCGAGCGCGTCATAGAGCACGCGGGCCCACGCGTGCTTGACACGCTCGTGCCGGCCCGTGTGGCCTGGGCCCCGGGGACAGATCGCGTGCGTGGCCAGCTGGTCGTGCTGCGCCTGCGCTGCGGGCACGCCGGCGCGGACGCAAGCCGCGCGCGTCGGCAATAGGTGCAGGGGCAGTGCCAGCCAGGGGTGGGCCGCCACGGCGAACTCATCGTCAGGCATCCACTCCTCGCCCGCCTCCGCAGGAAGCAGCCAGGCGCCGGCCCCTGGCCCGCCCGCCGCCCGCAGCAGGGCCCGCAGGGAGGGCTGGAGCTCGCCCAGCAGCGCGTCCCGCGCGGTTTCCGCCAG